TCATCACATCATCAGACACTTTATCACACACCCACACACACACACGCACGCCATCTTACCACACACACACACCTCCTCCCTCCCCTCCTTCTCATCCTCGTCCATCACATCATCATACTACACGTCTTAGCACAACCGCCTCATATACCTTCTCTCCTCACACTTCGTTCTTGACTTTTCATCTCACTACTCCGTCTCCCATGTGATGTTCATATACATTTGAAATTTGTAAAACTTATCATGTGGGGTTATCCGGTCCTTTTATTTGTTGCTATTCTTGAGCCATGGGCAAATCACGGAGTCACCAGGATATTCTAGACTCATTCTAGACATCCCTAGACTCCCTAGACCACGTTTCCCATCTACCTTTCCACCTAGGACCTTCCAACAGGTGGCTTCTGTTTTTTTGGACACCCCTTCACCTCTAAGGTTCTAAGGAGCTTTCACCGCTTGGGAGTGTCCTGCAGATGTGGTTTCTTATGCTCTTGACTCCTTCCCAAACTGCCGCACACCGCCGGCCGCACCAGATGACTGCCCTCAGCTTCAGGTGGATTCCTGCAAGGAGGGCTGGCGGCTCTGCGTGGTTCGATGTCCCAGGTAGAGCCCAAGAGCTGAAGAGCAACACGAAGAAGCAAAGGATGCAGAATCTCCAAAGATCTTCATGGAATGGGTGGGAGCATTGGAAGTTCGTTCCCTTGCTCGCAGTGACTACTCAGGCGTGACTGGATGTTGCCAGGTCATGTTGTGACCTGAGGCCATGTCCCGTGTGCCTGGAGAGTGCTTGGACTCCTGGCTACGGCGGCGCGCCAAGGAGGAGGACATGGTGGGCTTGGGGAGTGCACCTGCAAGTGACTGGCTCAAGAAGGATATATATTGTTCTAGCTTTTTCAAGGGTCTCAACTGAGTGTCTCAAACTGAATTTGATCCGCCTTGCTAAGTAGTCTGGCTGGAGGCCCCTTGTTTTGAGGCGGCGCCCGATGAGGGGGTTTGGTCAGGGCAGCTGCTTTTCGGAGGAGATGGTTGCTACCTTGCCCGGTGTCAGCTAGAGTTCAGCCCAAGAATGACGTTTGCCTAGAACTCCAACCACATCATCAGAAGGTAATTGGACCATGTCAGACTCCCACCCACCCAACCCCAACCCCAACCCACCTTCACCTTCAACGGAGGTATAAAGGCCAGGAGCCTTGCTTCTTTTGGACGCTTCATTGCAGTAGGGTCCACCTATAATCAACCCATTAAGGAGACATTGAAAACTCATGGCCAATGTCTCGGGAAAAAAGAACAGTACACTCGGGATTGTAGAGGAAAATCGTCTTCCAAAGGTCAATTCTCAGGTTCCATGTTAGTTTTCGACAGTGTACCGGTGCCCAGCCATGGGCGACCATCCTTTTCTCCTCCTCGACCTCGTCCCTCAGGACGCCGCGGGTCGCCGGGACGGGCCGAGCGCCGTGCGGCGCGGCTGTGCGCCTCGGGCCGGAAGGATGGCGCGCGTGGGCGGGGGATCAGTCAGGTGGATGGCTTGGACGTGGCGGCCCATACCATCAACGAAGGATACCTCAAGGCTTCACTTTTTTCCTACCAGAATTGGCCTCGTCAACGCAGTTAGTTGGACTCAGCTCGTCCCGAAAAGATCGCCCTGCAGACACCTTTCAGTGCACCTTCTCAAGAATTGAGTTGCCTTCTAAAGTATGCTTTTGGTTTTCTGCAAACTATTGGAGTGCTTCTTTAACCCCATGGTGTGTACTTCAATCTCTTTTTGAGTGCCAGTCCGGCGGCCAAGCACGGAAGTGCCATGCAATGCAACTTGTAGAGGTAGCCCGGTAGCCCCTTCTTTCTCGGTTGTGCCAGGTGGGCGCACATCCTCAGTTGAAGCAAAGCTGTGGAGACGCCCAATTCTCCATGTTTGGAACCCCTTTGGAACCCTCACACCCCCACTACAAACAGTGGAAGGGTCTGTGATCGTCTTGCATGTTCTCGTCTACACGTTTGAGACAATGAACAGATGAGTTTTGCAACTCGCCGGCGCATGGAAGCCACCCGTTTCCAACGCCACGCCAAGGGGCTGGCCATTGCTTTGCTCAGGTGGGCCTCGAAGCGGTTGGTCTGAGTCCTTGGGTCGAAGAGAAGAGATGGCCAACGGCCACAGGGCCCACAGGCTCTTTGAATTTGAACATTCCCAAACCAAAGCATCCTCAGCTACCCCCAATCAAGCTACCTCTTCATGGCCCAAACCTTTGCCCTCCAGACCCGTTCTTTCGTAGAACATCGACCTGTTCTTTCCGGAGCCCCAGCCGGGGGGCGGAGCTTCGGTGCCTCCGGAGCGGCGCCAGGCAGCTGGGCCCCACGCTCTCCCGGATCTCCGCGCACGTGTGGCATCGCGACGTGAACTCGGCGCGGCACGACCGCGCGGCGACCGGGTTTTGAGGATCGGGCGTCGGGCGGTGGATTGAGCCTTTCATGCGCCCTTTTGCTTGGCTGGTTCAACAAAGCATTACTGCGGCAAGGTGCTGATTTAGGAGCATGTAGGGCCATCTGGACAGGACAAGCTCCTTTTGACCATCCTTCATGGTCCTTCATCCGCCGAATTTCTTGGTGTCAAGACCTCTTGGACCGAGTTGATTCCTCTGACACGGCCAGCACAACATCCTCATTAACGTGGCAGAAGGCTGTGACCTTCAAGACGAGGAGCTGTGACCTGAAAGACGAACTCGCGGACAGGGGAGGATATATGATATGGTTTGTCCCCCTGCGAAAAGAGAGAACCAGAAGGAGTCACAGGTCCGTACAGGCATGTACAGGTATGTTATGTACAGGTACAATCCTTCATAAAAAGACACAGAAATGACTGTGGTCTTGGTGGGAAAGAAAGGAACCGTCCATGGACTGTTGGCTTCCAAACGGAGCATGGACTGGGACTTGCCTCCACGTGAAATCGATCCCCTACGCCGGTCCCGGATGGCTGCAGGAGATTGCGAACCGAGTGGGGAGCTGAAGGGTCTCGGAGGGGCGGTGGAGTACGGACCCGGGGACCAAGGGACCTTCCCTGGACCTGGACCTCCAAGCACGACAGCCATAGGTCGACTGGTCACATTCTTTTTGCAGTTTCATACGGCGCACCCGCGGCAGATGGCGTGAAACGAGGCAAGTAGGCGAGCACCACACAAGCATCAACATAGTCAAGACTCCGCAAGACAAAGAGAAAGCTGCTTTTGGCTACTAATCTAGGAGGGAAGCATGATTTGGTGCAGTAGGAGATTTATGTACCAGGCCATGGCCGTGCCCAAGAATTTTACCCCGTTTGATGGCTAGCATCCTTGCGTGAGCCGATCTCGCTCTTGGGTTTTCCTGTGGACCTTTGTTCAACATCGCGTTCTGAGTGCACCTTGCAGCACTTGAAGCTCCACTTGAACGAGCCACCACCCATCTCCCGAAGCCCAACGAGGTCTCGTTTTGGCTCATCGACTTTGGCTTGGCCGTGGAGGCTCAGTCCTGGTCAGGATGCCCAGGGAGGCCAAACTAAAATCACTTCAAAACTCAAACATTGGCCCCCCTTCTCAGATAACCTTTTCCGCAACTTTCAGGCCACACACACACACACCAGATAGGTCACAGTATAGTTAAAACACCAGTAAACAGTAACACAAGTCAACTGCCCGCAACTACTATCTACTTCACCCCGATGTTCCCTTCCGTCTCGGCGGCCCCACGCTCCGAGGCCTGAGAAGTGGCCGCAGGCGGACGTGGCGGGCGACTGCCGCTATTGGGCACCCGCCTCCTTTGTGCCGAAGCGGAATTCACGCGGGCTGGTCTGGGCAGGGAAGGGGTGGAAGGCAGGGAAGGCAGAAAACATGTAGAAAGGTGGAAGGGCCGGTTTTGGTATGTTTTGATTGGGATGTTCAACATGTGGAGGAAGGGAGAACATGGTGGGGGATGAGGTAAGATGCAGGTCGAGGATGGATGAGGGAAGAGAATCGGAACGTACTGGCCTGCCAGAGTTTATATCTTTAGCTTCAAAAGCATGAAGATAGGTGCTACCCACAGCAGGGACTGACTGTACCTGATGGTGTTCGTAAGAAGAATTCCACAGTTTTTGTCGTTTCGAAAAAGGCACTTACCTTTGCGACTCAGGTCATGAGCTTCTGTGGACCGGAGGATGGGGGCAGCGGCAATCTTCACATCGTGCACGTGTATGTTGGTCTCCACCGTCGGCTTACGACGGTGGGCTCGTTCAGGAGAACGCGGCAAGTCCGGACTACTGTGCGCAGTACAAGAGCAAGTTGGACATCGTCGGATTAGGTGTGGACAGACCCTGGCGTGAAACCGATGTGTGGACAGACCTGTTTGGAAGGCTGACATTGGAGGAGTGACAAAGCCTTGTTCGGGGTGGAAGAGACTCCTTCTCTGGACCCCAAATGAAAGTCCCCTTATGGCATTCAGGATGAGCCATCTAGCATGAGGATTCCTGTCATTTCGCATGTCAAAAAAATCATGGTTTCAGTTAAACTGAGACCAGCAAACTCCTTCACTTAGAACAGTCACGCGCTTGTCTTTCTTTTCCGATCCTTCGATCGGTTGAACAATGAAGCTTCTGTTTCATGGTTTTCATGTTCACTTTCCACCCTGCAGCAACTTTCTGATTCACCACCTACCGGGCCTGTATCATCCTGTATCACTCTTCCATGGGTCCCCGTGTCTCCGCGTGGTGTCTTGTCTCCGACCGCTCCACCGGCAGGTCTCACCGCGCTGGAGCTGCTCTGCAGCACGGCACTGGCCAGTCGCAAGACCTGGGGTCAGGGGCACCTAACGGGTCGAAGACGGAGGACTGGCAGGGCCGTTTGGGCCGTTTGGGACGGGTTTGGGAGAGTGAAAGAGGTGGGCATTTGAACCCGAGGTTATGACAGGCGGTGTGGCATGAACATCATAACATGTATTATGAGGCTCTTGGCTTGAGCAGGTTTCAAGTTTGACCAAGTCTTCGGACAGTGCTGTTTTCGAGCGAGAACAGTCGCTTGACCAGTTTGCACCCATGGGAGCTCAGTTCCAACGTTGTCGACACAGGCGTGCAGTCTTGGCATGCTGCGCTTTCACGGGAGCAGGATTGGCATTCTTCTATGCATTCCCTGCACCAGTGGTGCTTCTCGCATGCGCTTTGCTGGTGCTTATGACCTTGGTCTTCGTTTCAAAGGGCACTTCTTCATGGATTCTCCCGCCTAACTCGCCCAGCTCGCCTGGCCAGGCGCATCTTCACTGGAATCCGGACATTGGTCGGCGTGGCATGGGGGATCTAATTCACAGTGTGAACCATATTGGCCTGGTGGTCTCAGACGTGGGGCGGTCGCTTGCCTTTTACACCGAGATCATTGGCTTCCAGCAAATTCAACGACCCAACTTTGATCGCCATGGTGCCTGGCTCACGATGGGGAACTTGGAGCTGCACCTCATCAAGGGAGTACCCAATGCCCCCTCAGGTCGCGATTTGATCGTCTCACACATAGCCCTTGAGACAGATCAGCCAGACAAGGTCCGTCAGAAGCTGATGGAATACGACGTGCCCTTTAGGCAAAACATTTCAGTTCCCGATCCCAAAAGGGCGCGAGAGAATTTGGTCGAGTCCTTTGAGAACAGCGAAGGGAAGATCACGCAATATTCCATCCGCGATCCAGATGGCTATTATTTGGAGGTTTGCAACTGCGACATCCTCACAGCTTTCTGCTTGTTCAAAGAGGACGAGAGCAAGCAAGAGAATGCAGGCCATGTCCCCAAATACATGGAGCTTATCGATGCCATGCTTGGTACTTACCAGGAGGAGTGCGGGCAGGTCAAGGCCTCATCTTTTCGCTTTCCACAGCTGTTGAAGACAGCTGTGATCATTCATCGTCTCGTCCGCAGAGCACGTGCTGAGTTGAAGAAAAGCTTTGCGGAGCGGGTGGAGAAAGCATTGATGGGAGTGCAGGAAGCCACAGCGCCTGATGCTGCCTTGCTAGCCAAGTTCCTCGGCCGCCAGAAGACATATTGCGACATTTGCCAAGGTTTCTCGAAAGAGGATTTGGCCTCCGCCCTGTGCAAGAGTGGGAATTCCGCCCCAAAAGCTTTGCTCCTGCTGGCCGCTTGCCGAAAGCATGTGAGGGTGTGCTTACCGCCTCAATACCTCTTGAGCGAGGGTGGACGCATAAAACAACAAGTGATGGCAGTGGCAGCACCCAACTCGCCCAGGCGCAGGGCCTTTGGTGCAAGGAGCATGTTTGCCTCCAAGCCCTTCGAGGATGCAGACCCTCCAAGCCTTTCGAGGAGCCTGTCGCCGGAGCGACGGGTTGCTTCAACCCTCCTGGAACGCAAGACCGAGGGGGAGCGACACGGTCCGATGCTATCTGTGCGGTTTGAAGATGATGCAAAGATGCAAGCATATCTCCAAGAGCGCAATGTCACGCACGAAGTGGTGAGCGCAGTCAGCGGTGCAGCGCTGTCTAGCATGGCCAGAGCAAAGCTGTCCAAGAGAGGTGTAGCAGCACAGCTGCGCTGAGGATTGGTTGAACCAAGACACGTTTCAATCTGAATGCATTCAGCTTTTTTCCCTAGCAAGCTGACTGCTTTTAGTATTCTATGTCATGGCACCCAAATACATAGGAAACAAGTACATACAGCCTTTGAGAACTTGGACACCATTTCTATCATTTTCTATCTATTCGGGTGCCTCATTTACTATGTTTGAAGCTCTGCGTCGGGCAAGCTGGCAAAGCTAGACCTGCCCACGACAAGCAGACAGATCGCATATTCAGAAGAACAAGGCGGTTTTCCGCCGGACATCGATAGCAGCTGGGGGGTGGCTTGACCATGGGGTGACCCCCAAACTCCAACGTTTTGTTGTGCAGGGACATAGACCCAAAACCTTTGGGAACAAGAGTCCAGGTTAGGCCCTGCTTGGACCACTCCAATTCTTTTCTTTTTTCATGTCACATCCGTTCGACCCCGTCCGTTCGACCTCGTTTTTCACCAACGCCCAGCCCAGCGAGGTCCCGATGGCCTTCGGGGCTCCTGGGAGCGGCTGCTGGAGACGTGGGAGAGGCGAGAGGCGGAAAGGACGTGGAGAAGTCTGTGGAGGTATCACAAAGATTGGTTGGGTAGGTAATGTAGGTAGGTGCAGGAGGACCAAGGAGGAGGAGGGTTTTTTTGGGGGGCCAGTTGGTTGTATGGAGAGGGAGCGATCGATTTGTATGGAGAAGAAGGTGATTTCACTGGAGTAGATCGACACTGCTGGGGATGCCTAGAGTTGCTTCAGGGTCCGTCAACCTTGGTCACCCGGTCCTTCGGATGGACGGTTCATCCCATGCTGGATCCAGCTGGAACTTTGCATTTGACATACACATAGACACACCAGGGGGGGATCCTCCATCAAAACCGTTCTTCTCATACCCACCCGACCCTCCACCTGCGACGGGAGAGGGTCTTCGCATCCCCCAGGGTCTTCGCGTGCCGCGCCACGCGCCCAGGTATCGGGAGGACGTCACCCGCTGGCACTCCATGATCTTCCAAGTCTTCACGAAAGGAGGCTCGGAGCACGAGGGTGTGCGGAGCACCACCCTCAGGGTGCGGCCTCTTTGGTTGGGACCAGAGACGATTCATGTGGTTCTTTTTCGTACGGCCGACTGTCGGTGAATGGTGAACGGATCGGCAAACGGCCACAGTCAATAGAGGAGACGATTTGGTGAACGATCTTGCAGTGTTTTGGTCATTTTGGGCATCATCAACTCGCAGATGAGGAGATTCCTGTGTTTGCGGAGGGCATCAGAAAAACGCGGCCATTTGGCCCGAAGCTGCATTGACATGATGAGATGGCAAGATGTTTGAGACTGAAACAGGATGTGTTGGGGTTGCTCAACTGGCGCTGTGTGCGTCAGTCTTCCAAGGCCTTGAAAAGCAGTGCTTTCGAACCATGCTGGCCCGAAAGAGTACGACCACTCATGACCACTCAACCTCCTATCCGCTTCAATAGAATAAGAAACCGTTGGGAGTTCTTGGCAGAGGTTTCGTTTGGTTCACTTGTCAACTGCAGGATGAGCCGACCAGACCCTGTTTGTACAGCCCCAGCATCAACAGTGACCAGCGAGCGAGCATGTTGTCAGCCACACTGATGAGAGCCTGGCCAAACTAGGCCGCAGCCATGGAGACGAGGCAGAGAGAAAGCCCTTGCTGAGCTAGATTCTGCTGTTTGGGCACTGTGTTGGGATAAAAACAATGTGTAGTGTGTGGGTTACCAAAATGATAGAGAACTCATCAGATTTCCCATGCTTTTCTCCTACCTACACTGTTGCCTTTGTCTTAACGCATTTCCGAAATGGAAAATCGGACCTTGGAGAACTTGCACCTTGAAGAGGCCGGATCTAATCCATCTATATAATCCAGTTGTTTTTGTCTTTCTTCAGCCACTCTCTTTGGGCTATCGAAAAAGGAAAAACACATGCGGTGTTTTTTGAAGGTCCAGCTGGTTCCTGAGATCAGGAAAATTATCATGTAGGTTCACCGATTAGTTAGCTCATTTGGGTACAGCTCCTAGGATCTGTTCGGAGCTTTATGGACCCTTGGGTGGAAGAATATGCCAAAAAAGAGACCAAAAAACACCAAAGAGGCTAGGGCGGCCTGTCGGGGTATCCCTCTTGTACGCTCTTCACAGCCGAAAATGGGTCTCGTGCTGCAGGGCGGACTGCCCCTACGAGCTCTTGGGCGTGTCTCGGGAGTGGGATCGATCGAAACGCAGGGGTCTGGGATGAGAGGAGGGTTTGGAAGCTGCTCCAGGTGAGCCTTGGTGGAACAGAAGCATCTCATCTTGACCACAGCACCGTCTTGCCACTTTTGGGAGTCGTGGGGGTCGGTAGGGCTGGTTTTCAGTGGCGTGGCTTTGTCAAAGGTTGGATGCCGCGATCCGACAGAAACGATCCAACATGTACATCCCGACATCGCCAAAGTAAGCGCGGCCAATCGGTGCCGGATTTTTCATCGTCAGACACGGCTGCCTGACATTTCACCGAAAACGTACCTGGAACGTGGCACATGGGAAGAAGGAAGCATTGCTGGACCCGGACCTCACCACTTGCTGTCGACGGTTTCAAGCTTAGACGAAGAACCAAGCAGGATGCAGGAGGGTTCTGGTCCTGCACTTCCTAAGCTGCAGGACCTACAGAGCAAACCGTGGATTTCTGAATCCTTGAACTTCTTACATTGCCCAGGGTCTAGGCCAAGATCCTGGAGTAGATGGAGGAAAGAACATGTCTTTGGCCAGTATCAATCGCTCCCAAGATCCATTCATGACATGATTCCACCATGAAAACCAGGGTTTCCCGCCAGGAAGTTTGTTTTGTTGGACAGGCTTCTGCCGCTTCTTGACCTCCGTCCTTGGCTGAAACTCTCCATCGCCACGAACGAGCGCGTCGCAGGACGCGTCGCCTCGTAGCATTGAGCGGGCATGGCGGCAGCAGGCCATGCCGACCATGCACCTGTTTGGAAGGTCTGGCCAAAAAAACACTCGGAAGCCGACATGTGCTACTGCTCTCCTTTTCACCCTTTCATTTCATTAGCTTCGCCTCCTTTGCAAAAGGAACCCGATGCTGGCCGACTCCTGAGGCTCGAATGCATCATCCAGACAAGGCCAGTGGGGGCTCACCTATCGTTCGCACCCGCACGAGTGCGGGTGCACCGTTCGGGCCATCCGGCGGGTTTGGAGCACACTCCGTTGGACCCCCCAACCCCCCTCTCACGTGGGCATCGAAGACTTTTGTATGAATGGATTACCAAGCTCACCCAATATCAGAGCTGAGCCCGCTCCTTGGGTGGAAAGAGGCCCATCTGAACCACATGCAGTTCGTGTTTTTTCCACATCTGAACCGGATATTGGCATGGCCTACTGGGCCTCTCATAGCGTCTGAACCCAGGTGCCGGAGGCCGAAAAGCTGGCCGCCGAGGCGCATGGCTTACGGGGCAGACCGCGTTGCGTTGCGGTCCCGGAAGCGCGGAAGAGAGGAGACGACCTGGTGACCACCTGGGGTCCGGAATGATCCACCAGTGAGAACACTGCGACTGGAAGACTTGACCCTTTTTTTGAGCGGGGTTTGACAGATGCTGATCGACGACCCGCGCGGCCTGGAGCTGCTGGGTGAAAAAGGCACGCGCGAAAAAAGAAGCGCGGAGATCGAGCCAGGAGCGGTTCAAGCGTCTGTCAGAGGCACAGATGGTGGGTGACGGGGTGCGGGGTGAAGGGTGCGGGGTGAAGGGTGGCGCACGGACACCCAAAACCCAAGTGGACAATGCGTTGCTAAATTAGTGCTTCTGTCCAATTATTTTGGTGGTTTGGTAGTCGCGGCATTGGCTTCCCCAAACTCAGATGTCCGACGTGGTAGAGGAAACTTCATCGTATTTCCAATATCTTGACCTTCACTATCTGAAAGATCCAGTATTCGGATGGATGGGACGGGGAAGAACATTCGACATCTTTTGAAAAGCTTACCGTAGATCAGCACCCCAGCGTCCTCCAACAGTTCGAGAATTCATTCTCCAGTCCAGTGCCCAAGACCTCTGCTGAGGTCTCGCTGTGATTGACACCTACCACTAATTGAACTATGCGTTTGGGAACATCGAATTTTCCCCAAACAGTTTACTGTTGGTCTCTCTTAGGGGAAAAACAGGGGCAGGATAGCCGTGTCCGTGCCGTCCGCCCTTTCTTCACTGCATGATCCGGGTCTGTGTGTCCATGCTTGGCCGCGCCGTTGTCCCTCTCTAAACCCTGGTCCGGGCTTGTATTCTTGTGGCTTCAGATTTTTGCGTGGTATATATATGTATATAATATATCCTTAAAACTCCTGCTGAAGGGGTTTCGGGTCTATGTTGGTATAATTGCATATCTCTTTAGCATCTGTTTTTTGTGGTCAGCTTTAACTTGTAAACCCTAAACCCGTGCAGCTTTTTCTCACAGCCACGCAAGACAAAAACACACAGACACACGAAGACAAGCGAAAGGAACCAGGGACCAAGACCAGAGAACAGAGACCAGAACAGACAGAGACGAGAGATCAAGGACTCAAGTGCCAAAAGACCAGAACCAGACCAGAGACCAAAACAATTAGAAATCATCAGTAAACAAAGAACGCTGACCAGAAACCAGGGATCAGACACCAGACCAGAGAGCAGACACCTTGGAGCCAGAGACCAGAGACCTCAGGGACCAGAGATCAGACCTGAGACCCGAATGGGAGAGGCCAGAAACCAGAACCGAACCAAACAAGAAGACCAGGCTCCACGAAGCCAAGCCAAGCTGCAAGGCCAACCAACGAATACAAAGGAGAGCTTTGGTGAGGATAAGTCCAGGATAAGTAAGGCTCAGGGGGGTCCTGCCTCTACCCCTCGACCTGACGGAATCGGCCAATCGTTCCATCCAGCTCCAGGCGCACGACCTGCTGGCAGATCCCGAGCGTCGCGAGCTCTACGACCGCTTCGGCATCCAGGACGGGGCGACACCGCTGGCGACCACCGTGTAGTGGGGGTGACTACTGCCTTCGGATGGAAGAAAAGGCATGGGCGACACTGCTGACACGGAGTCGAGGGTGTTTGGGGTGTCAATTTGAACTGGGGACCAGTGACTAAAAGACAACTTTTTGGTGACTGTAGGTTGGATTTCTTGACACAGAGTCGAGGGTACTGACCAGTTAGTGAGAGATTTCCTTGATGCATCGGTGACGGACGGGAGTCTCAACTTTTTCGACCAGCCACCGGATGTGTCTACTTTGCGGTTGGCCAGGACCCCAATGTCTTGGCGCAGGACCAGTGGGACATGGGGGAGGCTGGGACACTCGAGGATACTTGAGAGTGCTGCAGGCTCCCCAGAGCGCAGGGTCTTCACACACGAATATCAGACAACATCTGTAACCAAAGAGACCACAAAGGCAGAGCGGCAGAACTATCATGATTCATGATAGAAGGCTTTATGACCTGATATGACCTGTATGATTTCCACCTTTTTTCCTTTTGAACATGATGTATTTGGGTTGCGCCGCACAGTTTGATGGGTTTCACCGCAGTTTGATTGGGCCAGTTCCACAGCGTGTGGTTTGACCATGGCCAACTGCCATGACACACCCGTCAATCTGTTTGTTGGGCATTCATTGTCAGGCTGGCTGCCTGACTTTGCAATCTATCTCACGGTGCAACACATTCAGTTTGGAACACCCGTGCCCGAACGAATTCGCCCTGGTTGAAGCCCACGCGTGCAAATCAGGCGGGCATGCACGGCTTTGAGAACTTTGAGGAGCTGCCATGGGGCCACATGGGTTTTGACCCATGAAAGGGTGATGCGATCCCTCTTTTTTTGAAGACCAATAAAACAAGAACAGATACAGGTGATCACGGTGATCACAGGTGAAGGTGAACAAAGAAGCGGGGGAACCCGCTGGTGGCAGGTCCAAGGAGTCTCCGGCGTTCGTAGCGATGGCCTCCAACCTACTCGCGATGGCCCTCCAACACCGAGCATAGCGTCCTATCAGCGCCTAGTAGCTCGAACGGAGAGTTCCTGTCAAGCGTAGGAGGTTGTCTTTTGTGAAAGGTTCCCTTCTTCGAGAATCGGTCAAGCCTAGGGGGTCTACTCCTGTGGTCTCCCAGTCAGAGCTCCACATGGGTCGTGACTCATGTCGTGACTCATGTCAAAACGTATCAGAACGTCCGGTTCCGTTCCAGGAGATCCTCAAGGAGTTCTTCCAAAATGCCGGAGGACGTGGACGCCCATGAATGTGACGCGGGGGGTGGGTCCGTTGGTTCGCCACAACTTCGAGGGACGAGGGAGACGTAGCTTCGATTCACAGGGGTGTGGATGTGGAACGCACATGTTTGTTGAGACATTTTTATTTCCCTTCCAAATTATCGGGAATTGATGAACCAGGCCGAAGAAGTTGTGATGTTCTCACTTGACAGATTGACAGATGTCCTTAATTTGGCTCTTCTGCACGTTCATCCTTTTCTGGATGTATATAGTCTTTTTGCATCTCTTCGTCTGCAGACCTTTCTTTCTTATTCGCCGCTGCCCAGCAGGAGCACCTCCGGAGCCTGAGCGGCTGGGAAGCCAAGCACCTGAGCACCCCACTTAAACACCTTTTCAAGTGCAGCGCCTCTGGTTGCGTACACTGCGCATCTAAATAGGAAAGGCACGCACCCCCTGGCCCCTGGCTCCTGGCTGGGTTCGGTTTTTGGTGAATTTTCTGAACCGAACCCAGGCGGGTGAACTGGGAGGTCTCCCTATTTTCGCCAACAGCGAAGCTTCAGAGGCCTTCAGCAGCAGTATAGACTTCGGAGCAGATCGGAGCAAGCTCCGGAGCAGGTTCCGAAGCAGGTTCTGGAGCAGGTTTCGGAGCAGGTTTCGGTTGCTTGGCTGGGTGGTTATTGAATAGTTATTGTTTGTTGTTTTTGTTGTGGTGGTGGGTTGTTTCTTGTTCGTCTCGTTCCGTCTCGGCCCTGGCAGGTGCTTCTTCGTCTTCTTCCTCTTCGCGGCGCGGTTGCTCGGCTTGGTGGGAGCTATAATGCAGGCATAGAGCACGCAGGCAAGCGGCGCGGTTGCTCGGCTTGATGGGAGCTATAATGCAAACATAGAGCACGCAGGCAAGCGCCCAAATCTATGCGACGCTTGAATATCGTTCATGCTCTAACCGGGTGTACTGTTTGTATTCTAACTGGGTTCGAGGCACTTAGCAGCAACTCTTTTTTCAGCGTGCACTTAGAATATGACTAACTCAAGAAATTTGAACTAGTACATATTGTAAGTGCTAGCAACTTTCTATATACACAGTCATTTTGGCTCTGGAGTTCCCCCTCAGATTATGGTAGTGGGGTGGGTGTGTGCTGCTGTCTTTTTCTGCTTGCAGGACATGGCCTTGGCTTGGAGGACTGGGTTTGGGGGTTTGGGTGGGGCTTGGGATTTGGGCATGGAGCTTTGTTTTGAAAGTTGCTTGCAGCACATGGCCTTGGCTTGGAGGACTGGGTTTTGTGGTGTGGGGTTTGGGGGTGTGGGTTTTGGGGGTTCGGGTGGGGCTTTGGGGGTTTTGAGCTTTTGCGAATGTTGTTTTTGCAGGACTTGTGGTTGCTTTGCAGGGAGCCTGTTTGGATCTTAGCATTCTTTTTGTTTGGACCTTTGAGTTTTTCTGGGCTTTTTATTGTTTATATAAACGTTTTTAGTTTATGTATGCTTGTATTTGTTTTTTCAAATATATTAGAACTCAATTTTCTATTTCAGTTTTTTGCAAATAAATAGTTTCAATATTTACATTTCTAACAGTAAAAAGAATTGAACGCACATATGTTTAAACCAATTGTATTTCTGTATTTCATATTTTTGGGTATATATTAACTATATCTATTTTTTGTCAACATGGAAGGAAGAAGCTTGTTTTTTTGCATATTGGTTTTGGCCTGCGAAATTATATATGTATATATGGTGTTTTTCGATCTATACTTTGATACGTCTGATTGTAAAATTGAAAGTTGTGTTATGTTTTTGACTTTTTAAGTTAGAAACATTGACAACCAATAACGCAAAAAAAGTTAAACGTTTACATATATATACATATTTAAACTATCTTTTGCAAATATAGAAGTCCGATCTAATATATATATATATCTTTAGGTTTTCAACTGTTATCGGAAAAATGAAATCATAAAACACGTGCATGTAGACACAAAATTATATATATTTATAGTTATGATTTCCTTTTCAATATTTGAATCATATATCAGATGTCTAAATTGAGATAATTTAGAACCCACCGATAGATACAATATTGTTTCATATTTTAACTACGCCAGTTTATTTGTAAATAACAATACACACAGCACAACACCACACACAAAACAACAACAGATACAACACAACGACACGCCAGCGCACAACCACAACCACAACAACAACAACAACAACAACAAGAACAACAACGACCGCAGCAACAACAGCAATAGACATAAGAATTAGACACAACACGCACACACAGTTACTTACTTAGTATTTGCAAATAAGAAACCTTTTGTATATTGTCTTGAAGGGTGTTTTACAAGAATGTTTCGTAGCAGCTTTTAAAACGCGCCATTTTCTGGACAATAGTGCCCCACAAGAGTATTTTAAAGAGTGGGGGAAAGAGAAGAGGAAAAAGAGAAGAAGAGAAAGGAACGAAGAGAAAGAGAACAGAGAAAAGAAAAACAACCATACTTCGATAGGTTTTGTATTCTTCAAATAGTATGTTTTTTTGTCTGTATGTTTTTCTATTCATTGTACTATGTTCCATATTTTACTGAGTGTCATACAAGAGTGTTCCACAAGAGTGTCCTACAAGAGCGTTCCACACCAGAGTGCCCGACAAGAGTGTCCTACAAGAGTGTCCTGCAAGAGTGTCCCACAAGAGTGTCGACTTTGCTTCACAAGAGTGCCCTACAAGAGCGTCAGAGAAGTGTGGGAGAAAGAGAAAGAGACAAAGAAGGAGAAAGAGGCTACTTTTGGTGTTGCCTTTGGTGTTGTCAGCATGGTGGTTTACTGTACTTTTCTGCTTTTTTTTGGCTCACAAGACCAAGGAGTGAAGTGAAGAGAAGGGAAGAGAAGAGAAACAAATCTAGAGTATATCTACTTTCAAACTCGACAAACACTTTCAAATCTACAGATTACTATCAGACTGCAAAGACCACTTTGAGACTTACAAATACACGACCGCTACCGGTTTGGTCTCTTTTGCTTCCCAACCTTGCTTAGCCTCATGGCGCCTAGAAGGACCTGCTGGCACGCTTGAACAAACAAAGGAGAGAGAAAAGAACAGAAAAAGAAAGGGAAGGGAAGAGAAGAAGACAAAGCGTTGCGAGGAGTGGAAGGCCTAACCTCTAAGAACCTGGCCGAGGAGCAGTTGCCTAAACTGGCCAAGGCCAGGAGCGCTTGCGTGCGGCGTGTTTTACAAACAAACCAGGCGTTTGCAACAGGTCTTCTAATGAGGTTCGGCTGCTCATCGGTTTGTCCTCTTTCATTTGGTTCCCCCTTCACTGGACCCCGCACATGCGGTTTCCTTCTTTTCTTTCACGTCCTTTATACATGTCTTCATGTCCTGTCATCCTCACTCTTTTCTTCTCTTGCATGCGCTTTTGCCCGGACCTTAGTTTGTGCACATACGCGTGTACTGTACTCTTTCACCAAACTAGGTTCAAGTGCCCCAGGTTCGATGCAATTAGGTATGGTTTTGTTGTCCCCCTTCACCAGGTTCTCCCTTCATTGGCAACTACATACAGCTTGTTTTGTTTGTTTTGTCTCGCTCATCTTTCATTTGTCCCTTTTGCGCGAAGATTTGCCTCGCAAAAACACTCTTTCCGGGCAGAATGGGGGCGCCTCCTTTCTGGGCAGGATGGAGGCCACGCGTCTTGGACTGAAACGGGGCCTTTGGGTCTTCGCAATCGCCGGGTTGCAGAGGAGCGATGGGCAACCTCCCTCTTCGTAGCGTTGGGTGTAAACCGTGGCTAGGTGTAAACGGTGGTTGGTGTAAACCGTGGGTAGGTGTAAATGGTGCTTGGTGTAAACCGTTGTTGGGTGTAAACGGCGGTTGGTGTAAACCATGGTTTGGTGTAAACGTTGCTGTGTAAATTGTGATTGGTGCAAACGGTGGTTGCTGTAAGCGGTGGTTTGGTGTAAGAGGTGGTTGGTGTAAACTGTGGTGTGGGAGGTGTTCTGCCAGCTTGCCTGATCTCAGGATGATGAGGGCCTGTGCGTGCAGTGATGCGCGGGCAATACTGCCCAATGTGTTGGGAAGCACCGGATCGGTGCAGGAATGGGCTTGACGAGGAAAGTTTGCTGCGAAGCCGTTCCATAGGAAAGCTGTGAGCAACTCAAAGGCGGTTCTCGATCGGTACCGTTTCTGTGGCGCAGGAGATTGCGCAGCTCAAAGTGACCGCGTGGTGGGTGGGGGTGGTGGTGGTGGTGGTGGTGGTGGTGGTTTGTTCGTTCTCGTTCCGGCAGGTATGTGTGCCTCTTCGTCCTTCCCCTTCGCGTTGCGGCTGCTTGGCTTGGTGGGTGTTTAGCAGGTTCCGGCGGAGGTTCCGGAACAGCTGCCAGAGCAGGTTCCGGAGCCCGGTGCAGGTTCCAGCGCACGTTCCGGAGCAGGTTTCGGAGCAGGTTCCGCGCCAGGCTCCAGAGGTTCCGGGCCATTCCCGACCAATTCCGGAGCAGGTTCCGGAGCAGATTCCAGCAGGTTTAGGTTTTGAACATCATGCAGCGCGGTATTCCACTGAAACCGTAGCAGTACTTTGTGGTTTTTGTCTAATTGTTCGGCGACGAGATGACGTTCCACAGCATTGCAGCAATGAGTGCGGTGATGTTGGTGGGGTTCCTTGAAATCTTTGGACGTGAGCCCGCCGTGAAAAGGTAGGCTACGCATCAGAATGAAACTTGATGGTTTGTGACATAATGTTTCGATGAATACACGACCCGTGGGCTTACTTATACCCACCTGTTTGGTCAGGGAAGAGGGTTGTTGGATGCTATTCCTAGCCTCCGGGAGTGCTTAGCACTCCTCCTCTTGCTGTGCAGGGCCGACAAACGTATGCAAAGCTTTTGAAGTGGATCTGTAGGCAGTGACGCAAGGGCTTCTCAGCAGTTTGCAACTTCTCACATCCGAACTCCCTAATGTGAAATGACATTTCAATTCAGCGTGCATCACACCGTTATACAGTACAGCAATGCACTACTTTGGAGCTATCCAGTTGGCAATTTTGCCTTGAACTCTGCGACTTTCTTTTCTGTGACCCAGGGACTTGCAGGACGTTTGGGAGGGCATTTTGGGCTTCACCCTCCTTAGCTTGGGTGCTGCCTCCTTGGCTTGTCGGGGCATCTCAGATCGCCGTGGTGGGCCTTGAAAGGTTGGAGTGGAGGTTTTGTCGTGGCGGTGAATGAATTCCCTTTTTTGGGGGGATCCTAAAGTGACCGAAGACCTCCATTGCGGAGGAAAACCCGCCACCTCCGATCCTCCCCCTACGGTCTTACCTTTCCGACATGACCCACTGTTGCGATGTCCATGCGATGTCTGACATGCGCAGTTTGGTGCAGTTTGGCCTGCGACCTGGAAGTCTGTTTCTGCAAGAACAAGCGCATCAGTACTTATGGCCATCCCCATTGCAACTCTGTGGGTCCAATATGATCCAAAGAATCTAAATACTGATCCTTCGACTGAAGAATGGATCCCCGCTTTCGTTTCGGACCCTGCACAAAAAAACAAAAGCCGGTGCCAGTCAAGCCCCGGCCCCACCAGTCACCGCAGCCCCCAGCACACTCTGCTAGATAACACCAGTCCAATGTCCCGGTTTTTGGGAAAAGATCGATCGCCACCCACAGGGGCTTCTTCGGTCGAGCAGGTGTAGCCTGGCTGGTTCGGCGGCCGCCCTTGTCGGGCGTGTTGTCCTGGTGTTGGTGGAGGCGAAGGGTGAGGGTGAGCCACTGAACAATCTGGAGACGTGGGAAACTTTTTCCTTTCAGAAACTAGTTGGTCTCAATTTTTTTTGTGGTTTTTGTGGATTTCTGGATGCTGGGCCATGTTGAGCGCAAGCAGAAACCAACACATTTTGAGTATTTATGTTGTAAGACTCGGACGGTTCACGGACCACTCTTTTGGCTCCAAAGACATTTCAGCAAATCTATGCCCATCCCAAGAGATGCATGATTTCTTCCATTGGAGATGTCCATTTTCCTGCAGGTGCCGCTTCCTGCTCTTTGACCTCGGCTTTGGATAGGCAGTGCTGGGCTGGTGCGGCAGGGTTCTGTGGTGGTTCTGCTGCTGTGTCGGACCCGCGTCCCAGGCAACAGCCCTGCACGGGGTTTCCTCGTGTCCCTGTGGCCGGGTCCCATGCGCAGCCTCGCGGTGTGCCGTGTGATCCGGCAGCGACGTGGGATCTGGAGACACCTTGGACTTGAAGTAGGTTGAAGGCCAAACAGTTCTGTGAAAGAGCTAAATTGTTCAGTCCCGAACAGAACCATTTGGGATCTTTTTTCCATGAACACCAAGTGAAGCCAGTGCCTGCCGGGACCTACAGACGACCGCTGGCGTCGTTCCTCGTAGAAGATAGGGGTGCGCAGACCTCTCTGCGCTCGATAATCGAGGAGACCTGGACGGAGGGTTGATGCCAACTGCAACATGCTGTACAAGACTTGGCTCAAATCCCAATTTGGGGTGCAGCCAATGTATCCACAAATGCAGTCGCATATGAAGCTTGCTTTCACGTTCATTCTGGAATTTTGGCGTTGTAAATTCTTTTTGGGGACTCTTGGCAGCTTAGATTCCATCGGGTTTCCATCGGGTTTGCCCGGTGGCATCGCTGCTGGCATCTCCCTTTCGGCTCTTCCTCGGCAGGGCCTGTGTTTCACGACAAAGCGAAAAAAGCGCAAAACACGGGAGGGAACCCCGCCGTGGAGCGACCGACATGGGGGGATGTTGTGAGGCTTCTCGCTTTTTGGAGCAACGCCTGGTGTTCTGAGGGAAGCTCAAAGAAGGAACTGCTTCTTCAGGGATTGGGGGTCTTATTGGAAACGGTTGATCTGTGACGCATATCGATCATAGACGCAGCCCTGCGGCGGCTTTGACTTTGATATTTGGAACTGCTGGTTCAGCACTCCGAACAAGTCCTCCAATTTGGGATTAGTGGCTAGGACCTAGGACAAGCACAGGCAAACACTTGAGTGATTGAGAGCTCTGAATTGATGCCCTTGACCTCCAGTTGCTTTGGTTCTGGCAGTCTGTGGTACATCTCAGTGACCAGACACCCCCCAAAACCATTGCAGCCATTGCACCTTGGATGTGATTTTTTCTTTTTAATACATGACCACACATGATCGACCATCCCTGCCATTTACAGCTGAAAAGGAGTTACTCGAAGCTTCTTGCGGTTCTCGCCGATGAGGTTTCCTTTTTCATACTTTGACCAACACGGGACACAGATTGACACGGTGGAAAGAACCAGGTCCACGACATCTCTTTGAGAATTGGTCGGACGTGGGATGTCCGGGGCTTCGAGACGGTAGCGAGGACGAACAAAGCTGAAAGACTTCCGCCAGTGATGTAGCTTCTGCCGCCAGGTGATATAGGTCCACTCTACCGGCAGCTGGGGCAGGAGCGATCTGGATTTTGGCTTCAAGCCCGGTGGCATAAAGAAAGCACATCAAGTTGAAACATGAAAGACATGCGTGTTGCTTCAGGGTTTGTGATCAGTTTTTTTTTTTTCCCAGAGGTGAGTGGTACGGAGGATTTTCTTTTCTTTTGGTCAGCAGCAGCGATGCTGTTTCTGGGTCCATGACTTGTTGTTTTTTTTTAAAACCATCTTGGTACGTGAAGATGTCCGATTTGAATCGATTTGAAGGGAATCAACACTTATATAGATCTAAGGACCCTGTGCCACTGGCCAGCGAAAGTGTGTTTAGGATCGGTGCCTTTTTAGGTGTCACGTGCATTTGGATACTCGTTTAGTTTAGAAGGGATGTTGAGTCCTCGCTTCGAAGAAGAGTCGGGGGTCTTGGACGGCTCTAGCTTCGTGCAGCCGTGTTTGGGCGAGTCGCCATTGGCCAAATCCAAAGACCGCGTGAAATCACATGAGTGAGGCCCGATCATCCATCAGCCAAGTGCAACATCTACCAGAACATACAAGAACTCTTGAAGTCTTGAAGTATGTAGAAGAGTTTGGATATCTCTTATGCTGAAGATATGACGGACTTTAGAATGGTCAACCATATGTATCCGATGTAAATGGGATCGTCTTGATGGATGGTTTAGAACCACTTTTTTGAGCAAGCTGACCTGCCCAGCCTGCTGGGCACTGCACCTCACCAGCGGCGATTTTCCCTCTCACGCAACCATTGGAGCACCTCTGAAAACACGAACATAGAACACGTCCCACCTCTGAAAATGGACCTTGAAAGACATTGAAAGACGAGTTTTCTCTACAAAATCAAATCCCACAAACTCGATATCGAGGTCCAGGGCCTCCCTCGAACACCTCATGACTCAAGCCTGAAGCCTCAAGAGCACAGAACCTTCTCCAACACATCGAAAACACCCTCTGACTGTTGACTCGAACCCTCCCAACACTCACTCCAAACCACTCGCCCACCGAGCTCCTCCAGCTTCTCCAGCTGGGCATCGCCCACTTCGCCTCGCCTCTGGCATCGCATGTGGGTCAGCCTCTGCGCACCGGGCCATGTCGTCGCTCTCAGCCTCTGCTGGATCTCAACCGGGCGACCGGTCTGCACGGGCGACCGGGAGACCATCGGACGTGAAGATTCACGAGGACTCACTAGTGACATTTGGATACATCTGGTGACTTACATAGACCCCTTTATTTTGGATAGAAGTTCTTGGATCCCCACGCAGAACATGTATTGGAAACCGTGCCGCTATCTATCTGGGGATCACCATATAGTGGTTTTCGCGGCGCGGAAGTGAGACGTTCGGGCCGAGGAAAGACCGCTTTTTCGGAGCGCTGTAAGAACATTGACTTGCTTCATTCGCCCAAGCCAGCTCTTGCGCATCCCTTTCTTCAGCCCATCCGATCCAATCGACAGATCCCGGGTCCGGATGCTGTCATCTCATGAAAAGCCTTTGTCTTTCAAATCATTTCGCCGCGGAACAGGATGCTCTTTCCCATCCCCCCCGCTGAGACCGTCGTCTCACCCGTGGGCCCGGTCCGTCCGAGCGGACGGGACGACTTCGCCACGCTCAGAGCTGGTCTCGAGAGCTGCTGGTCGGCGGGCTTCACGGCGGAGTTGTGCTGCGACGTGCCGATGCTTGGTTTGGCTTAATATGATTCAACATACATTATATATATATATATACTACAACTACATATTACATATTTATCATTTTACATAATAATATAGAAATGTTTTTGTTCCTTTTTGCTTTCTCATATTTGTAATGTCTTTTTTTGGATCGGAAAGCCCAAGGATGCAGGATGAAAGGGGAGGGGAAGCAGGTGGAACATTGTGGAACAGAAGGGGAGATAGAAAAGAGTTGAACAATGTTGAATAGATTTGATCGTCATACTCACATTTCATTGATGTTCTGTCCTCTGTCTTTTTGGTGCCTTTAGGGTGGATAACAACACCAATTCCAAGCAGCTGAGTGGACCAGTGGTGTGAGATGTGATGAGGCGGTTAGTTTCGGGATTTGCGTCGGCCGAATGATGGATGCTTCCTGTTGCTTCTCCTGAACATCCGCGGAAATGGTGGAGAACCCACTGCGGGGCCCCGTCTGCAGCTGAGGACCTATGGTGAAGAAGGGAATCCCAGCTGTTGGGATGGAGATGCTTGATTTCTCCGATGCGACGGTGGGTTCGGTGGGTTGTTCTGAAAGTTCCTGGAGGACCATTCCGTGTGGCTGGGGCAAGCACGACACAGGTCGTGTCTTGTTAAAGCAGTGCAAATGCACGGGGCAGCATCGAAGCAAGCAATCGACATACACTGACGTTGCTCCTGAGTCGGAATTCCCATCGAACCCACGCCAACCCGCCCAAACCAGACAGACTCACTGACACCCCCTGTGGTTCACAGAGGTCCAGAGGTCCCGCCGTCCGATCCACGTCTCAGGAAAAACCCCTCGGCCCCTCAGGAAGATTCGTGGATGGCTTTGGAAGTATTTGGAAAGTTGGAAAAACACCATGAAATTCTGCTCCCCTTCATGTTCCTAACAACCCCAGCTCCTTCACACCAAGGAGTTCAACTTCCAGCGCTGTTGTTCCGGCGCTGCTCTGCCGACTGCCACGGCTGAAGACGCCGTCCGGGTGGAGGTGGAGCAGTTTGCGGCGCCGGCATTGGGGCATCCACCAGAGGAGTGACTCAGCTGCAGTGCTGAGCGTGGCGTTTTCCGCCTGCGGCAGGGTGATGAGGACCTGGTGAGGGTGGGAGTGTTTCTTTTTTTCTTTTTTCGGTGCAGAATGGTGTTTTTCGCCTTGGAAAGACGAAGGAAGTGCAGAGGGTAGGCTCAAGATGCTAAACCACACTGGGCAGCCTGAGCAACACGAGACAGAGGTGAATTGAAAAGCCAGTCGCTTTCACCCCCATACCCATGATGGGGCCATCGTGGGTTTCATGGTGCCAGGCTCATGACTGGTGGCCCAGTTCCCAGTTGATCCAAGTCCCTGAACACCCTTCAGGGACTCACAAGTTGTGGCTGGGATCCCACCAGAATCCATCTGGCCTCACCATCCGACTTGAGAACCTTTCCTGAAGCACTTGCAGATGCCTCAGTCCAAGGATTCTGGAACCCACCAACCCACCAACCCTAAACCCGACCAACTGAAGACCAACCGACCAACTGGAACCACCCATCAACCGACCGACCTTCGGAGAAAGGCGACCGCCCATCAGGCTGAGCGTGGGGCTCTTTCCCACCTACGAGCCGGGCAAGGACTGCTGGACAGGCCGAGCAACCCCTAGAAGGGGGAAGAAAGCGCTTAACCAAAAGTGTTTGGTTCGGTTCGGTTCGGTTTCAAGTTTCTTTTCGGTTCCAAGTTATATAAGGCATTGTTGGACTCTTTAGTGGAAGACATGCTGAAGAAGCCTCTTGTTTTGGAGCCAAACCTCTGGAGAACATGTGCCGAATGGAAAAGATTCTGGGCTTGCCTCGCTTCTAAAGGCGCAGGAGGACTTACAGCTGCTGAAGCTGCTGAACTCAAACCAGAAGAATTGGCAGTTCTGGAGTCCCAAAAGGGCGTGCTTGTTAGAGCGTAGGGGTGTTCATCCTCCAGTCACTCCTCATGCAAAGCCTTTGGGAACTCCACTGTCGACCGAGAGAATCTCCCAGGCAGTGCTGCCACCTATGCCCGCTGCTGCCGCTGGGAGAAATCCACCGGTTCAGCTGGACAGGGAGGAGGTTCCTTTCTTGTGGCGGAGGAGGTTCTGGGAAGCTCATTATACATTCCATGGAGTCCGTGGTTTTTAGTCTCTAAGTGAGTGGATCGTGGGCACCCCTATCCTTCAAGTTCCGCACCCAACGTTGTACCGTATCATTCGGACACCCGAAGGGTTTCCACCGGACCGACATCCTCCCTTCGGCCTTCCGCCTTCGGCCTTCCTTCTGAGACATCCAGCAACTGCCTCGACTGAGGCGACTTGAGGATTAGCCCCATGGGCGATATCTTCAACTGCTGGGACAACAATCGCTTCACCTTTGAACGCTGCTGCTTCTTGGGCGAGGCGTCCTGGGGTCAAACAAGGTCAGGACGTGGACCCCTTGGGGTCCAAGCCTGAAGAATGGTTTCTGTCGTTTCAATTCAAGCTCTACCTGCATTGCCCCCCCCAAAAAACATATCAACGAGTCCTCCCACACTCTCATCTTTGGACATACACTTGGCTTATGGAGCTGGGGAATCCAGAGCCAACCCTGGTCGGCCAGGCGGCCCCGGGGCAAAGTCCCCCGAAGCCGCTGCTGCGCCCCGCGCTGCTGCGTGCCGACCAGGCGAAGCCTGCTGAGGCCGCGGCGCTGCGGCCGGCAGGCGGGGTGGTCGCTGTGGTTCCGAACGCTTGAAGAAGTGTGGTCAACTGAACTGAGAAAAATAGAGCTGGAAAGGAAAAGACACTCTCAGAAACTCGAAACCTTTCAAAAAACTGATCACAGTTCCACTATGTTGCACTCGTCTTGAGAACTAGCTTAACCGGAGCGTTTTTCTGGATGAGGACATGCGATGGGGATACTAGTAGCGTGTGATAACTACATACCTCTAGGAGATGAGGGATTGCGATTGGGACGTATTGATGAATACCATTCAGTCCCAATGTTTTTTGGATTCTGTCTGAGCCAAGCCTCACACTTCCACACCTCTGATTCAAAGCAAGAAGTGGCTTGGAGATGCTCTTCCAAGAAAACATCGTAGTGTTGCTCCAAAGAGCATGTATTAAAGTGGAGTGACTTGTGAGAGCTTTCCTCAACGCTTCGGGAATCTCGCATCATTGGTGGCCTACCGCCTACCCTTCCAAGTCCTTGACCCTTTGAAGTCCTTTACCTGACGGTTATCCGACCGTGCAGCAGTGATGTGCAGATGTTTTTCAGTACGCCATGTTGCAACTGGGTCTTCTAAGGCCGAGAATGCTGGGTTCAGGGCTTTACCTATGCCGCCTGTTGCTGCGAGCTGAGAGAAGTTCGGCCGGCCGAGTGTGCTGAGACGGGCATTCTTCTGCAGATTCTTAACATGCTGCTGGCACGTGGACATGAGCCTTGAAGGGGCCAAGGCTGTAAGCCTGTAAGCCCACGTGGTGGGAGTGCTAAATGGCTGTGAGTGAGATGTGGGAAGTCCATGGAAGTCCATCTAATGCCGTGTTGTGGTCTAGGGAGATTCCTGACAGCTTTCGGCGGCTTCTGGAATTCTTCCATTGACAAGAAGCATGGTTGCCGATTAGACACTTCCCCCTCCGCTATCAGTCCAAACATGTCCAAACAGTTGGGAAGGGACGATGACCTCGACATTTCGGGAAGGCATTCCTTTCGACCTTTTCGATTGGTTTGCACCCCTCGTTGACCAAGAAGCAGCTGTGGAATCTGCCCAGCTGTTGGAGGTGTCGAACTCCCCGTCGACCGAGGCCTGGGCGGCCTGGGCACTTGCTGGGACGAACACTTCACGCGAGAGGCCCGGACCTGCACCCGCTGGGACGCTGGTGGGTTGTGTCCGGTTGAGATCCAAAGGTGTGACTCTTCGATCATCATCATCATCATCATCATCCTCATCCTCATCCAGGATTGATCTCTTCAAAAGGATCGTGCCCATTTCCGGGACCCGGACTTTGAAGAAGCTTGGCATTTCGGGGATTTCTTGACCACGAGTCGCTTCCCTCAATAACTGAGCGAGGAGCTTGCTGGGAACGGAGTGACAGGGACGGAGTTCGGACTTGAACACTTCAAGTTGGCCATCCACAAACCACTTCCACCCATTCGCAAGGCCTTCCTTTGAACTCAAACAGTGGAAGATGGGATCCCCCTCCATGCTACGCTGCTACACGCAGCATTTCTTGGGACCATCCCCTGCTTGGCTTTGTAAAGGCCACCAGCTGTTCTTGCATCCCAAAGAAGCGAGATTGGAGACTGCCAGATGGCCAGGCCTGCTGTGATGGCCTCCCCCAACTCCCCGAGGCCTGGACACGTCCGACGGGTCCGTCGTCGCTGGCGCGTCGAAGCGGTGGCGGGGTCCCAGCGGCACCGGCGAACCCGAGGCGTCGCGGAAACGCCCCGCGTAGCTTTTCTTGCGACGATCGCGGAGTCGGACAGGAAGAGCCTGGAATGCGCTCTGGGAGCATCGAGCATCGAACAGCTTCTCCTTTTTTGATGTTCTCTGTCACATTCTCTCCCGTCAAGAGTCCATTTGTGATTCATTTTCGGCGTGCACCGGTTCACCAGTTGCCGACTCATGAAATCCACGGGCAGAATCACTAGCGCCTCTCACATTTAGAGCGAGGTGATTTCCTTATTTTTGCATGTTTCGGGGCAATGATTTTCAACCATTAGCAATCACCCCGCAGAATCTGGCACTGGCCAGTTCCCTTCTTCTCCAAGCTTCAAAGACTGCAGGTGGGAGCCACCGTGAAGTCGTCAGACCCCTCGGCCACTGGGTTTGGCCTTGCAGGGTCGAGTGACATGCGGAGGGCACCCACCCCGTTGGGCTGGTGCCTGGAGTGATCAAGGAAGTGAAAGTGAAAGACACCCCTGGCCCAATTGGTGTTTGAATAGTGAGACTTTGCTGGTTCAGTTGGTTTGGTGGTCTATTTCTCCTATTCAGCAGAGTTTGGGTGGGAAGTCTTTCTCCACAGCTGGATGTCGTGGTCAAAACTGGGGTTGCTTCCATAGAGCTCGCATCTCCCTACATGTTCAGTAGCATAGGTTTGGCACTTGGCACACATGGATCTGGCTGAAATCATCCAAGATTTGGGTCCTTCTTGCCTGATCTACCCCATATCAACAGCCCTTGGAACGCTGCTCCTGCTCCGTTCCCCTAACACCGCCCCGAGGTGGATTGCCTCCAAATGGCCCAGCTGGCGGTCTTGGCCACTCGGAGATCGGCCCATACCGGTGGGACAGGGAGTTTGACTCGATCAAGTCGATGTCTTTCGTTCGAGCCGTAAGAAGCTTTCCCTCAAAGTCCGGCGATCTTTTGCCGAAGGAAGGGACATCCCCTTAAGAATGATCACCTCAAAAGACCATTCTTTTGTCTAGTCTTTGACTCCCAGAGCTTTCGTAGATGGTTTTGTTTCTTTAGAACTTAGAAGTTGGAACATCTTAGAGCCGTTTCTTTTAACGGTTCTCGAGTTTGTTCAATTCTGTCACAGTTGAGAACCGTTGCTGCCACAGTTGCACAAGCTCATATGGACTCCCCCGTAAGGCAACTTCTCCCTTAGAATAGAAAAAGAGGGATCTGCCAGCACACGGATGGACGCATCGCAGATCACGACAGGTAGCCTTCTCCTATATGTATAGCTTCAATGAGTGCTTCAATGATATGGGGAGCAGCCCAAGCAGCTCTCTCAACAAGCTCTGAAGTTGCCCTCACGAGGGGCGCTTCCTGGGAGCGCTTCCTCCCCCCCTCCAGCGACCTCGCTCCCTTCGCGCCACGGCTTCCGCTGGTGGCTTCCACCGGTGGCTTCCGCCGAGGATCTGGAGCAGACGCCGCGGCAATGCTCGCAGCGCTACTGGTACCTGGCGAGCATGGGCGCTGGCTTGCCGCTTGCCGCTCTGGAACGGGGGACAGGCCGGAGCGGGACGAACGCGGAAAGGCCGGGCATCCACACCGAACTCGGTGTGCGGAGTTGGAGGCGCAGCGGAAGACTCCTGGTGTGGCTGGGGTGGGTCCAAGGATTTTGTCATCTGGGGACATGGTCAAAGTGTTTGCAGTTCAGGAAGAGTTGACCGTCCCCCAGTATTCAGACGCAGCAATGACAAGGGGGTCTCGGAGTTGCCCCCTTCATCATCCCTCTTTCCAAGTGAAGGCTGACACGACCCGGCCCATATAGGACTCCGGGACTCTCCCCACAGTCGTCTTTTCTTTGTGTCGGCCCCTTGTTTGGCCTGTATCCGATTTTTCGAATTGAAGGTGGAATCGGAATTGAGACATCACCCTTGTACCAAGCATCAAGAATTGACTGACTCCTGTTCTCAGAGAGTGACCAACACTCCAAAGTAGCCCAGCATTTTCTTCGATTCCCCCTCCATTCCTCGACCTGTTCGCCCCGAGGATTGCCACGGAGCGCTTGGGGATCCCACGCTGGTTCCCGGTGGAGCAGGTGGCGGCGGTGAAGCCCTTGCGGCCTCAGAGGACGGGCGGACTCGGACGATGAGGAGAGACGCCAAGAAAAATCCGTCATGATTCCGTTTCCGACTTGGCAAACCATGTTTTTCACCACCAGCGATCACTGCCTGAGCGGCACTCTGCCTACCAGGCATCCGTCTTGGCGCATGAAGTTCCCACATCCCCCCAGTTGGTTGGCGAAATGGAGAATGGCCATGAACATGGCCCCTCCTCGAAGACCACTTTTCTTGAGCAAGTAGTTCTTTCATGCTCTTTCCATCCACGTCAGTTTCTATTCATATGGCCATATGGCCCCTGTTCTAGAGGAGAATGGTCTATCTGAAGGTGCCCATTTTGCATGTTTTTGAGACACCATCAAAGGGCCTATGTTACACCATCATCATATTGTCCTGTATGGTGAAGATGAACACCGCCACCTCTTCAGGTGTCATATGGTCCATAACCAGTCGTGTACATTCGATCTTCATCCATTTTGGCTCCAGGATGCACTTTGTGGGAGGCCTTTGCCTGCCGGTCAGCTGTAGCACCGAGGTCCACCGGCAGGAGGGTCATTCTTGGTGGTGGTTTTGGACCGGAGAAGAGGGAGGCCAAGCTGTATAGTTCAGAAACACAGGTGTTTTTCCACTTCCTTGGTGTTTTTTTTTTGGGTGCTAGCTCTCGAAACTCAAGGGAGTGGTTTTTTCCTCCACGCGACTGGATGAGTTCCGTGGGGTGTCGGCGAGTTGCGCTCTGACGTCGAGTGAACAGATCCTCCTTGAATTCATCACCCCGCTCTGAAGGCTGTGCCTGGAAGAAGGGAAGGCAGGGAAGCAAGAACAGAAAACCAGTTCTTAGAGATCCAGGGAGCGACTCCCACTTGGCGTCTAGACTCCACTGCTCTAGCATCCGACCAGGAACGACAGGGACTCCTTGGCCTGACAGACCTACCCCACCTGCCCTCAGGTCGTGGCCTCCTACCTGGCCCCTTTGGTGGTTCCCTGGTGGCGCAGCCCCCGGCGGGCGCCATCAGCCCTCAACGTCGCTTGGGGAGTAAAGATCGGGGATTGGACCCACCACTTCGACTGAAGACGGGGATGCTGAGTTGACGTTGATTGCTTTTGGACATGAGACATTGCTCCCAGGACGCGCACGTGCGCCAACTAGCGACTATCCCAGACCACATGCACATGCCTAAGGGCCCTTAGGGAGGGGATGGGATTCAAGTCGTCTCCCACCAAGGCGAGCCACATGGTTTTGCCACCACCGCTGGCGGTGAGGCACAAGGTCTACCCGTGGCTTGGAGCTGGTTCAGGGCGGAGCTGGTTCACCATGTTCGGGTTGCCAAAAGAGCAACCCCCACCAGCATGAATCCCAAAGCCAGACATTCAGAGCCGTCAAAACTTTTTTGTCCATGGAAGAGAGGTTGATGAAGAAAGCAATGGAACTTGGGGCGGTCCCACAATCTGCCATCTGCATGGATTCAGATGCGAAATGCCGAACTGACCCAGTTTCTTCTTTTTGGACATGAGATCGAAAAAGGACATGAATTTCACCCTGTCCATTTAGCGACGACTAAGAGCATCGTAAAATTGTGTGGGTTTGGATACCAACCAACCGGGGGACTTTCCAGCTTTCGAACTAGAGCAATACGCATTTTCGATCGTCAGCGATAGCACGGAGTATTATAGATTATAAACCAGACACAATTTTAAACTAGCATGATGGGAACAAAAACGATTGGCCGCCTTTTTTTCTCCCTGCGGCCACGCCCGGACCACTCCGGTCCGGCACATGAACATCCATGCCCGGACTCCGGCCCGGCCTCCTGGGCTCCGGGGCTCTGAGGCGCGAAGAGAACCAGTGGAGCTTTCAGATGTTCACAGCTCTTCGGCCTCGCTTGGGGGAGAAGTTGGGTGATTTGGAGCGCCCCTGGGCCGCAGGGCGTGGAGTCTCTCGACGAGGCCGGTGGGTGCGTAACCACGCGGGAACCACGCGGTTTGAAGCGAACCGTCACTGTGACGGTGTGATCCTTCGGAGGGCAAAACAAAAGGAATGGATTTGGCATCGACTTGGATTACCAGAGATGAAGGATGTTAATTCAGATCACAATCATTGTACATCTCTGCTTAGGTTGGGACTTCGCCATCCTCCTGTCGCTCGGACGCAGAGGAGCCCTCCACCCGGGGGGGGGAGGGGTTCTTCCGGGTCGCCGGAGCCGAAGGAAGAGGAGCCGAGAGGAGGAACTGGGTCCAGCTTCGGTCCGTCTCCCGAAACCACTGGGCATCGGTCCGTACCTCGGTCCCTTTTGTACGATGGATCGTTCAACGATCCACTGGAGCCCGTATCACCGACCACGCCAAACCGACCAAACACCAGGCGATGCTCGATGCACCTAAAGTGGCGCCAAGCCAACTGCTGGAGGCATGAACAGAACAGCCATCCAGCTGTCCCAGCACAACTTTGAGCCATCCATTCAAATGCTTGAAGTGCACTTCTGTAGCAGCCCCCTGAACGCGGGAAACACCGTGAACGCGCTTGGCAACCGCTTGACGCCCGGAAAAATATTATACCGGCATAGACCCCAGATAGCGCTTCAAGAAAAGGATGGCGTGGCAAGAGCGGGAGACAAGCTTGGGAGACATCCCACTCAAAGCCAGGAAAAGATGGAAACGGTAAACAAGACCTAAATCATCTTATAACAGCATCAGCGTCAAAGGCAGGCAAGAAAATGACAAGGAGGCAGCAACAGCCAAGAAAGAAATCAGGAACAGAGACAAGCTTGGGAATCACGGCGGCAGCGGCAGCCAAGAGCGAAATCATGAAGGGAGACAGGCTTGGAAGACCAGGCGGCAGCGGCAGCCAAGAGCGAAGTTATGAAGGGAGACAAGCTGGAGAAACAAGACGACAGCGGCAGCCAAGAGCGAAATCATGAAGGGAGACAAGCTTGAGAGACAAGGCGGCAGCGGCAGCCAAGAGCGAAATCATGAAGGGAGACAAGCTTGGGAGAAAAGGCGGCAGCGGCAACCCAAAGGCAAATCATGAAGGGAGACAAGCTTGGGGGACAAGGCGGCAGCGGCAGCGAAGAGCGAAATCATGAAGGGAGACAAGCTTGGGAGACAAGGCGGCAGCGGCAGCCAAGAGCGAAATCCTGAAGGGAGCCAAGCTTCACAGACAAGGCAGCAGCGGCAGCCAAAAGCGAAATCATGAAGGGAAACAAGCTTGGGAG